ACAACATATCCATCTTGGATCATATGTTTTATCTCGGATCCTTTAAACTTCCAATACGAGATTCTTAATACACCATTTTCAAGATAATAAAACTTTTGGCCCATTCATTTGAAGTGAATCTCACTTTTAGATTCATTATATACAGGGTGTAATTCTGAAAGAACTCAACCACCATATCCAATGAGCTCTTTTGATATAGAAAAAGATGGACTCATTTATGAATCTCTCATGATGGCTTTATTTTCGCTTAAGACATGCTACGTGAAAAACTTTTGGTTTTCACATGAATTTTCAATGATCTTTTATATCATTGCTAAATCTGGATAGCATAACCTCTTTTTTTTTCTTAAGTCACGTAGTAAACTTCAGGTTTACTATACATTTTGCCATCCTTATTCTTTGTATGTACGACTACATACAACCATATCTCAGCCATATGCTCTTCCAGAGCATTCACCCTTCTAAAGCGTTTGCATTATCCAATATTAAATTGACACATGCATCATAAATTCTTTTATAAGAATTTATTTTTTTTTTGAATTCTAAATTCAAATAAACATGATTAACAATATAATAAAATTTCACAAGCACGACTTTTTGAGATAATACACAAACCAAAAACTCTCAACACATGGATATATCATCATGAAATCAATATATAATCTGGTTGTCCCATTTGGCCGAGCTATTAAAGCTCCATAGAAAGTTCAGCATATGTCTTATTGTAACACCCTTTCATGATCAATTTAAGAAACAATTTCGTTTTTCTCTTCAAAACTTGTGCTTTTTATATTGTCTTCTTGTTGTTGTTGATTGAGTCTTGTGAACGAGTCACTTGTCTCTTTGTTTTTCCGGATCAGAATGTTAATGCACAGAAACAAATCGCACTAAAGTCTTATAATCATGAAGTAGAGGTACAACTAGTAAATGGAGTTAGTAGCGGCCAAAAGAGCAGCACCGATCCCAGACACGTCTTTGGTATGTTTGATCTCAATGTGACTTGCAAGCTTATCACCAAGAAGCTCGACCACAGCCTCTTGCATATACCGTTGATACAGTGGGTTATACTCGTAGAGTGCACCGTCCATAGCCACAACGGTTCTTTGACCTGAACTCAATCTTTTTGTGTCTTTCTCAATCTTCTCCAGAATTGCCACTAGACCAGCTCCTGCTAGACGGCTTCCGCGTTTCACTACTGTGTCACACACTTCCGCCACCATCTTCCTCACCTCCAGATTCGCCTCTACCTATTTCCAATATTTGTCATTGTTTCTATCAGGTCTTCCAATTTATGGATGTGATTTAACAACT